TTTTCCTTGGGTTTGTATAAGTTGTATATAATGGTGTTTTTTTTTTTTGTGTGTATATATGTATATAAAAAAATTAAAAAAAAACACAAGACGACTGTTCTAGTAGTTATGACTTGATTTGTTGTTGAACATTATTGTTGTTGTTTTTTGCGGGTGTTTGTTGTTTTTTTCTTCATTTAAAAATAATGACTATTTTTATTTTAAAAATTAACTATTGAAGTTCTGTTACCATTCTTTGTAAAATGTATTTTTTTTCTCCTTTTTTTGTATTTGTTGTTTAAAAAAAATGACTTGAGTGTAGTTCTTCTTGTTTCCATTGCGAAAAAAGACAAAAAAAAAAAACGAAATAAATGTGTGATTACAGTAAAAACTAACAGCGAGGTACTTTGTATTTCTTCATATCCACAAAAAAAAATATTGTTCGGTGTTTTATTTTTTCGAATTAGTTTCATTTTTATTGGTTCTTTATTTTTTTGTTGGGAGAAGAAATGCCAGCAAAATGTATTTAGTTCATAATATTTGTTTTGGTTTTTAATATTTATGGAATTATGTGGTTGTTGTTGCTATATATTTTTTTTGGAATTATTTGTTTTTAAAAACTTTGTATTTCTTTGGTTTATGTTTACAGTTTTGTATTTTGTTGTTGTTGTTTGTATGGGTTTTGAACTTAGCTTAGCTGCATAGAATTATTATGAACTAAATACAGTTTGCTTTGGGGAAAATAAATTTTCAAAAGTTGGGGATATTCAAGGAGCCGGAATAAAGAAATATTTTTTATTTTCAAAAAAAAAAAAAGAAAAATTTTTCAAGCCAACTTACTTGGCTAAATATTGTAGAAAATAATAAATTATATATATAACAAAATATAATACAATTTCATCTTTAATTATTTTCCTAACAGCAAGGGATACTTCAAAAAGAGATGCTTGTCAAAGTAAAAATATCAATATGGGAATTGATATGAAAGTTAAATAAAAAATCTGATAATTTTTATTTGAAATCTAATTTTCAAATTTTTTATAATGGATAGGTCATTTATCTATAAAAAGAAACAAACTTATCTATACAATATAAGAAAAATAGGGAATATTAAGAAAGATTAGGAGGACATTCCCTCACATCAAATTTTCTCCCTCCAAAGAGTGGGAAGAGAGAGAGACATGAAGCTTGATTTTTGAGGGAGACTTGAAATTTGTCTTTTATATTTTTTAGGTTTGAATCCGGAATAAAAAATCGGTCTAACTTTTAAAGGAATAATGTCTATATATTTTCCATGTTTGAACCAAGGCTAATAAAAGCCGTCCTGACTTTTATGGAAATAAGGTCTCTATAATTTTCAGGTTTGAACTTTTAGATATTAACGATCCTATCCTAGGAGGACATTCTCATTAGGTTTTCTCCTCTCTGAAAGAGTCATAAAAACTGATTTTTGAGAGAGAATTGAAAATTTTTTATTTTTCTTCTATATTTTCAGGTTTGAATTCCGAATAAAAACATAACGGCCTGACTTTTATGGAAATAAGGGTCTATATTTTCCACGTTTAAGTCTCGACTAAAAATTGTCCTGACTAAGGACTTATAGTGAAAAAAGCCCCTGATTTTTTGGAAATAAGGTTTCTATATTTTCCGGGTTTGAATCCCGAATAAAAACAAAACGACCAGACTTTTATGGAAATAAGGACTCTATATTTTCCAGGTTTGAATCACGACTAAAAAACCGGCCTGACTTTGAAGTAAGGACTTACAGTGAGAAAAGAACCCTGCCTTTATTTTTTATGAAATAAAGAATCCATATTTTCCAGGATTGAAACCTGACTTATCGGCCTGACTTTAATGGAAATATGGACTTACAGTAAGAATTAACCCTTTGGGGTTTAGTTTAAAACCTTTAAATATCTAAAGAAGACTTTCGAATAAACATAAAAACATTAAGAATTTAGTCTCAGATACTTTTCTATGCCATAGAAATCGAAATTTGGATAAACCAAAGGAAAGGAAAGAAAAATACTTTGGTAAAAAGGACTTCCTGTCATGGCCTTTCTTTTGAGTTCCTTAACCACTTGGATCCTTAAAAGAGATAGCTCAATACCTCAAAAATTTCGTAATAGATTAGTTAGGCTATTGGAATAAAGGTGTATGTGATGTAAGGGGGTTGGGAAACCAATTCTATTTGATTTGTGAAAAAAAAAAACCGAGGACATAAAATTGAAGATAGCACACAAAAATAATTACGGGGAAAATTCAGCAGATTATGGAAGTAGAGCTAAAAATAGAAGACAAATATATCGGCGTTTTGAAAGTTTTAATCGCAAACTAACCTAAATAAAGGCGACAAGTTCCCCCCTCTTCCACACATTTGGAAATTTTCAAATTAAAATACCTCTGAATCCAGGTTTTTTTTTTTTTTTGGAATATAGTGTCTTCAGCAATATTGAAGATAAAAATAGGACGAAAAAATTTTTTTAACCCATAAGCTAGACAATAAATGGGTTTTTTACCCTCTTTGGAAAGGATGGTTAATAACTCCCCTTAAATAGTATCCTAGCAAGTCAAAATGTTCTACAAAATTATTTGTCAGCAAATTCTACTATAGATCGTAGAAGACATCAAAAGACCATTTTTGAGGGATGATGTTACAGACATTCTTCAGCAAATTTCACTATAAGTCACCAAAGAAAATATATCTCTATTTCTATTTCTATGGGCCTATAGTAGAATTTTACGGCGAAAAATTTTGTAGAATATTTTCACTTGCTATGATCCCATTTGAAGGAAGTTTTTAGTTAGTTTTTATTTTGAAAAAAGTACCAACAACCCAACTTTTTTGACTCGTTTGAGGGTTAAAATTTTTCAAAAATATATTCATCATATTTTCGTCTGCAATATTGCCAAAGACATTAAATATCTCTTACTTTGAAAATAGTTTGGAAGGGGGAAAACTCTCCCTTTATCTATTTAGGTTACGTTTCGATGTAAATTTTCAAAACGCCAATACAGGTGTCTTCTTTTTTAGGTGTAATTTCGTAATTTGCTGAAATTTCCTCGTAATTATTTTTTGTGTTACAAAGTGTAATTTATTATTGTTTTTATTATAATTTTTATTAACATGTTATTAAAAATACATAAATAATTAATTTATTTTATTTATATATCTAAGAAAAAAACAATAAGTAAATAATAATAAAATACTTAATAAAAATAATAATAATTATTATAATAATAATTACAATAATAATATTATTATTATTGTTATTATTACTTCTATTATTATTATTATTATTATTATTATTATTATTATTATTATTATTATTATTATTATTATTATTATTATTATTATTATTATTATAATTATTATTATTATTATTATTATTATTATTATTATTATTATTATTATTATTATTATTATTATATTATTATTATTATTATTATTATTATTATTATTATTATTATTATTATTATTATTATTATTATTATTATATTATTATTATTATTATTATTATTATTATTATTATTATTATATTATATTATTATTATTAGTATTATTATTATTATATTATTATTATTATTATTATTATTATTATTATTATTATTATTATTATTATTATATTATTATTATTATTATTATTATTAGTATTATTATTATTATTATTATTATTATTATTATTATATTATTATTATTATTATTATTATTATATTATTATATTATATTATTATTATTATTATTATTATTATTATTATTATTATTATTATTATAATTATTATTATTATTATTATTATTATTATTATTATTATTATTATTATTATTAGTATATTATTATATTATTATTATTATTATTATTATTAGTATTATTATTATTATATTATTATTGTTGTTATTATAATTATTATTATTATTATTGTTATTATTATTATTATTATTATTATTATTATTATTATTATTATTATTATTATTTATTATTATTATTATCAATATTATTATATTATTATTACTTTTATTATTGCATATATATTATTAAAATACATGAATAATTCGATTATTTTATTTATATATCTAAGAAAAAAATTAATAATATATAATCTTCATTAATAAAATATTATAGATTATTATTGATTATTATTATTATTATTATTATTATTATTATTATTATTATTATTATTATTATTATTATTATTATTATTATTATTATTATTATTATAATTATTATTATTATTATTTTATTATTATTATTATTATTATTATTATTATTATTATTATTATTATTATTATTATTATTATTATTATTATTATTATTATTATTATTATTATTATTATTATTGTTATTGTTATTACTATTATTATTATTATTATTATCAATATTATTATTATTATTTTTATTATTGCATATATATTATTAAAAATACATGAATAATTCGATTATTTTTTTTATATATCTAAGAAAAAAATTAATAATATATAATCTACATTAATAAAAATATTATTATTATTATTATTATTATTATGGTTATTATTATTATTATTATTATTATTATTATTATTATTATTATTATTATTATTATTATTATTATTATTATTATTATTATTATTATTATTATTATTGTTATTCTTATTATTATTATTATTATTATTATTATTATTATTATTATTTTAATTTTTATCCACAAAGTAATTTACTATTTTTTAGATATATAAATAAAATAATTCATTAATTTATATATTTTTTCAATTTTAATTAACTTAATTTTATTTACTTTTATTATTTAAATTGTAAATAGAATAAAGTTTCCAGGAAATTTTTATTTTTATAAAAAAAAAAATCAAATGGATTTGGTTTTAATTTCACAGTAATTTTTTAACATATAAATAAAATAATTAAATTATATATATTTTTTTTTATTTTTTTTAGACAAATTTTAATTAACTTCATTTTATTTACTTTTGTGATTTAATTTCAAATTTTTATAAAAATTTTCCGTTTTTAAAAAAAATCAAATAAAATTGGTTTCAATTTCACAGTAAGGTTTAATTCATATCAGCATAAAATATTCAACTATTTTTAAAATTATATATTTAAAATAAAGACTAATACAATTTACAGAACATCTCGCTTTTGAATATCCCAAACTTTGTTTTTTTTTTTTTGTATTTTCAAAACAAAACGACAGTAATACAGCCCTAAATAATTTATTAGAAAAAAAAAAAAACATTAACCAAAAATCTATAACTAACAATAAAAAAAGATTATAAAGATTAGCTCAACTATATTTCTTGTCTTTAAATCAGGTAAGTTGTGGCGCCAGGGTTGTGTTTTCTGCAAAGAAATACAACCCTGAGCTGAAATGTGAACACTATTGGAAATTACTTCTTTCTCTGGAATATTTAATATCTCCAACGTAGAATATTGCAAGGCCTATTAAAGAAATCAAAGAGAAACTAAAAAAATGTTATAATTAGACTGATATCCCTTCAAATTGTCAAAATGTTTGTTTACATTTTCAAGAGATTAACTCTTAATACAAAGTCTTTGACAGTTCGAGATAAAACAGCTGTTTCTCATGGCTGGCCTCATCAATGGACCTTCCAATATTCAATTGTTTATTTTGTAAATGGAGAGAGAACGAAAAATTGGAGCGGGAGAGAAATACATAATAAAAAATTTAAGAGAGAGAATATAGGTAGAGACCTATGTAGAGAGAGGGAGAATAACAAAGAAGCATTTCTACAATTTTTACTCCAAACTCAAAGAATATCCCCCTAAAAAGAAAGGTTTTTCGAAATTTCATTTCTCATTTTTTATTGCATTCTCCAGAAGCAACTTCTCTCAGCTTTCTAATTTCTCTTTTCAATTATTTTATTTTTTTTTTTTTTCAATTAAAAAAAATGGAATTCTCCTTTTATTTCCCCCTTCCAACTAATTCATAAACCGTGAACTCAAAAATTTCGCTAGGATGTGTCACTTGGGCTGTATTCGAGCGCTTCGCTCCAGCTCATTGAACTGACCATAGTAGAGTACCTCACTGATTAGTTTTTCAGCTATAATACGTTGTGTACGATCCATGGAACGCAGTTTAACGCTAACATTAGAACCTATAAAATCGCAGTCATCTTTATTCAGACTTTCGGCATAGATAGCAGCTGCCGCTGCTGCAGCCGCCGCTGATGAACTAGCATCCTGGGAATTACTGAGGCCATTTGGCCCACCGACGCCACTGCCGCCGCCCACACTCGACGATGTCTTCAGCCGTTCACTGATCGAGGTGTTGTTGTCCTCGGACATACTCTCGTTGGAGAGCAACGAGTTCATGAGCATTTGACCGGCCGCACTGCTCGAGGCACTGGACGCTGTCAGTTTGCGCATATTGAGCGGGGAGAATTTCTCATCAATGGATTCGGTGGAACGTCTAAGACTAGGTGGCAGGACAAAACGGCTGAAGTCAAGACCTTTGGCTGCGGCCGCCGCTGCAGCACTTACCCTTAAATCTTGAGCAAAATCATCGGGACAATCGCCCGCATGGCGATTCTCATCGGCCGAACTGTAGGAACGATGTGAGCCGGGCGGCGGTGGCGGATGGGGTGCATGAAAGTAATTCTCCAGCAGTTCCTGTTTAATATCCAGATCATCTTGATCCCTTGACCCGCTGGCCAGAGCGCCACCCGGTATTAAGTGTCTTTGTTTATGAGCTTCAAAAGTGTTTGTATTTGGTATAGGACTAGAACCGGCATCAGTACCGGAGGCACCTGTGCTATGACGACCGCCAACACTGCCTCCACCACCGCCACTGCCACCACTACCTCCAGCTAAGCTACTTGTGCCGCCACCACCGCTGCCTCCTGCACTGCCGCCGCCTCCTCCGCCGGCATCACTTATGGCCCCCGGTGTACCACCGTTAGGACCCGAACTCAGCCGGCCATCGTTTGAGGTTAGCGACGTGTCATGCATGTTGGACGGTGTCGATGATGTTCGCTCACATTTGGCCTCGGGTTCCTTGTCGTTGTCATCGTTATCGATGTCCGTGGTGTCCATGGGTTTTTGGGGGCTGCCGGTGAAGTCACTGTTACTGCTGCCACCAAATATGCTATGGCCTCCAATAATACCCCCACCGGTACTGGCTCGTCCGCCACTGCTGCCTCCTCCTCCGCCGGCGCCACCACTACTACTTCCTCCTCCACCACCACCGCCACCTAAACTACCGGCAGCCGTGTTATTCAAATCACTGTGTGCGGGGGCAGAGAATGGCATCGGCAAGGTTACATGCAGCTGATGATTGCGATCGTTGACATGAGGCGGGGAAAATGGACCGGATGGATGCCAGGAATCCAATGGCGGATGATTGGCAAGTAACATTGGCAGGTTAAGGCCCATCTGAAAGTAGAGAGCAAAAGATCGGAAAGACTAATTAAAACATAGAATAATAAAATTTAAAAAAAATAATTAATTTTTGATTATTACTCTCTTGGAAATTTATTCTCTTGGAAATTTATTTTTTGAGAACATGTGTGTGTGATTGTTTGGAAAGATAAATATGAAAATATCAACTGTTATGTATTATCAAGAAGATAGGCACTCAGACTTAATTCTCAGCTGGCAATGAAGCCATAACAACACAAGTTATAGGTTTGCGGTCGCCAAACATTCTTTCCATAGCCGAGAAGTCTTCCATTACCGCCTTCGGAGACTGTGTCTTCGGCGGAGATAAATATAATATACATTAGGTCTGTTCGCTAACATTGCCAAAAATATGGAACTTTAAAATTTAAATTTGCGAAATTTTTTTTAGATAAAAATAAATGCAACCAACTTCAGACTCCTGCCATTTCTAAGCCATTCGTCCGACAGCTGTAAAAAATATTCCAGTGACAGCTCATTATATTGTTTACAAGCGTACAAAAGCATTTTGGTGAGAATTTTCCAGAAAAAAAGTTATTCGTGATGGAATTCAGACGTGATAATATGAGTTTATTTGGCTGGAAAACCACAAGTGGCTATCGTTAGAGCACTGCAGCATTTAAATGTGAATAAATCTTTTGTGTCTCGTACCATCGCGTATCCTGACGTCAAGGAAGTGGAAGGAAGAAAACAGCAACATCAGCAAACATGGTTCGAAAAGTAAAGACGCGACTTGATTGAAACTCGCCTCGCAGTGGCAGAAAAATGGCACGTGAACTGAACATATCGCAATAATATCCATTCGGCAAATATTGAAAAATTAAGCTCGGGGTAAAGCCATTGAAATTCCAAAAAGTGCAAGAATTTACAACGCAACAGAAAGAAAATAAACTCAAAAGAGCTAAAGAGTTGTTTCGCTTGGCCGAAAGTGGTAAACTGCCGAATTTGGTTTTCTCCGCAGCAGAAGAAACATTCGTTGTCCAGCAGTTTGTAAACAAACAAAATGATCGTGTTTACTTGCCAAAGAGGTCAGCTGAAAATGTGCACCCTTCGGTTGGCCACCAGAACTCAAGCGCCGGCCATGGTGATGGTGTGGGCCGACATAACAGGCGATGGTCGCTCTCCGCTCGTATTAATCGACCGTGGCATCAGAATAAATGCCGAATATTATCGCGAAAATATTCTGACGGGGGTGTATTAAAGCCTTGGGCACTCAAACATTTTGGCCGTAGACCTTGGACATTCCAACAGGACTCAGCACCATCGCACTCAGCACGCGCCACCCAAGCATGGTTACAAAATGAGGTTCCTCGCTTCATTTCCCTCGCACAATGGCCACAAAAATCTCCGGATACCAGTCCGTTGTACAATTGTATCTGGAGTATTTTGGAAAGCAAGGTTGGCACTAAAAAATACCAAAGTGTCGATCACCTTAAGCAAGCGCTTCGCCAAGAATGGGCCAAAATACCGCAGAGCAACATTCAGGCAGCGTGTGACGTTTTCAATGGCCGTTTGAAGGCCATGATTCTTGCCAAAGGTGACCAATTCGAACAAATCTAAACTTATTCTAAAATTTGATGCTGGTAAAATTTAAAAAAATAAAAATGTAAAAATTATGGAGTTTGACTTTGTTGCAGTTTTTTATCTCAACCTGTATGCCTTGCTTTTTTAGACGAAATCATTTTTTTTACCAATAAGTCCTTAAAAAGTGTTCTGTAGTCAGGTATTTATTTTAATTCAAACTCCACAATTCCTTGTCACGACTCTTCCTCCGAAAGTCCCGGTAACACGTAAAATAGTGTCAGTCGTTTTATTCCGACAGATGTATACCCTCAGCCTTGAGTTATGATTATTCAAACTTTTGACCCTTTATGGGAGACGTTCCGAAGCAGTTGCTAATATTGACCAACTCGAATCTCACCTAAGACTGACATAAATATAACAACCTACCAGATTTGGACCATATCGACGACTTCCTATACATCCTATACTCAAAATATGGAAATATGCGTAAGGTACCAGATATAGCGGATCAAAAATATTCCACTTCATCTAATACAGATAAAAATATTTGTGCGTGCAAAATTTTAAGGAAATCGAAAATTTATGTCCACCTTTATGCGAAATTATAAATTCCGATAAATTACATATTCATATCAGAAATTATGACAGATATATGCACTGAAAATTGTGACCCTTTGTGGGTGAGGTACCAACAGGTGGTCCGCAGATATTTAACATCTTCACAATGTATGTGTGAAATTTGAATAGAGTTGGATGCTTATTTCGCCTTCTTTGAGAGTTTTGGTTTTCAAAATCTTGAACCTTATGTGGGGGAGGTGCCAGAGCAAGTGGGGCGATCTCTACCATCTTTATAACAGATCTTGTGTTGATAAAAATATTGAGATTTGTCAATTCTGAATGGAATCGGATGTTAATTTCACGTTTTATCACATTCATGGATATTCAAAATTTTGACCCTTTGTGGGGGAGGTACCAGAAGAAGTGGCTAGATAAATCCCATTTTCACAGCAGATCTTGTGTTAGTAGAAATAATGGGGTGTGTGAAATATGAAGAGAACCCGATGTTTTTTTTTGTGTTTTATAATCGTTTCGGTTATTCAAAATGTTGACACTTTCTGGGGGAGGTACCAGAAGAAATGTTCCGATCTCAACCATCTTTATAACAGATCTTGTGTTGATAAAAATATTGAGATTTGCCAAGTTTGAATGGAATCGAATGTTAATTTCTCGTTTTCCGAGCTCCATGAATGTTCAAATTGTTGACTCTTTGTGGATGAGGTACCAGAAGGAGTGGACCGATATATCCCATCTACACACCAGACTTTATGTTAGGATATTCAAAATGTTGACCCTTTTGTAGGGGAGTTACCAGAAGGAGTGACCCGATATATTCCATCTTCGCGGCAAATCTTGTGTTAGTAGAAATAATGGGATGTGTGAAATATGAAGAGAACCCGATGTTTTTTTTTTTCGTATTTTATAATCGTTTTGGTTATAGAAAATGTTGACCCTTTTGTGGGAGAGGTACCAGAAGTAATGGTCCGATCTCTACTATCTTTATAACAAATCTTTTGTTGATAGAAATATTGAGATTTGTCAAGTCTGAATGGGATCGGATGTTAATTTCTCGTTTTATGAGCTTCGTGGATATTCAAAATTTGGCCTTTTGTGGGGGAGCTACCAGAAGGAGTGGAGCGCTATATCCCGTCTTCACGGCAGCTCTTGTGTTAATAGAAATAATGAGATGTTTGAAATATGAAGAGAACCGGAAGCTTTTTTCGGATTTTATGATCGTTTCGCTCATTCAAAACTTTGACCCATTGTGGGGGAGGTACCAGAAGTAATGGTCCGATCTCTACTATCTTGATAACAGATCTTGTGTTGATGGAAATATTGAGATGTACCAATTCTGAATGGAATCGAATGTTAATTTCGCGTTTTATAAGCTTCATTGACATTCAAAATTTTGACTTTTTGTGGGGGAGCTACCAGAAGGAGTGGACCGATATATTCTATCTTCTCACCAGGCCTTGGGTTAATAAAAATATTGTGATGTGTGTAATCTGAAGACAATGGGTGTCTTACATCACAAATTACAAGAGTAATAATTATTCAAACTGTTGACCCTTTGTGGGAGAGGTACTTGATGGAGTGGATCGATATTGTCCATTTTGGCACCTAAAGCACCTAGCACTGTTGCAAATATTTGGATTGGAATTGGAGCAAAATCAGATAATCCTTTCTATTTCTGTGCAGTATTTTTTTTTTTTTGGTAATTTTAAACTTTTAGGGGGGAGGTACCAGAAGGAGTAGACCGATATTGCCGTTCTCCGAGCTCCATCTAAGTTTGATAATAATATTACGATTTACCAAGTTTGGACCAAATCGTATACTCCCTTTGAGAGTTATCGTGCGCAGACCGACGGACATTGCTAGATCAACTCCAAATGTCCTGAAACGGATTTTGTCCATAGAGACCAGGGTCTAAAATGGTTATGTCGATAAGGCACGTTTTGGCAGTATCAAATGATGTATACCCTCTCTAGCCATATGACTGAGGGTATAATTAAACGTAAAAAAAATAAGTTGAATTCCGAATGCGGATTTCTATAATAATCCTATTAAATGTCCTTACCAGGTCACAAATAAATATTTTACGTATCCTTAAGTGCTCCAAAATATTGCACCAGAACCAGGAATTTTTATGTCAACCCCCCTCACATATGTCCTCTATTTTTTCACTTCGACAGATTTTCTTACAAAAAATATAAAGAAGTTTTATTATTTATATCATTATTGACACCTTCATAAATCTGTAATGTACCACCACACCCCCCCTCCTCCACCTTAAACCCAGCAACAACAATTTCCAACTCTTCTCCACACTTAAAACAACAATAAGTAAATGTCCCATACCACTTTGGGCGACAGCATTCCAACTCCAATTGGGAGTAGGGGACATCTTCAAAGTACAAAACAAAAATAAAAAAAAATGCAAATACAACAACGACAACAAAAAAAAATTACGGAAAAAATGCGTAAACAAACGCAACAGCGCTGCCAGCAACGACGCACTCTGCCGGCATCGGACAATAATGGTTGCGGGGACGTCACTTAAATGCGGTTGCTGTTGTTATTGGCCTTATTCGTTTTTGTTGTTATTGGTTGTTGTTATTTTTCGATTGTTTTGTTTATAAAAATAAAAACGCAAATAACAGCAAAAACGACTGATGGTGAGTGAGGTCGAGGGGCGAGGGCAGGAAGGTAGGTAGGTAGGTATTTGCTGTCTGGCCAACTCACCAACTGACTGCCTCTGCATATCGATGGATGGAGGACAAGCGGGTAGGCAGGCCGGCAGGCACTTTGTTTTCATTGTAGCAAATAAACAAATATCACAAAAAATTGCAAAAACAACAACAGCCGAAGCAGCAAAAAAAGTAATATCAAGTAAA